AAACTTGGAGTAGATCGCTCTTCGAAGTTGGTTTTTTGGTTGTCTCTTGACTTGCCGGTCGAGTATGGCCCAAAGGTTTTTGATGGGGTTTAAGTCAGGAGATTGGCTCGGGCAGGGCAACTTCTGGATACGATTTTCCTCCTGCCACTTTTGGGTGTTTCTAGCAGTTTGACACGGTGCTCCATCTTCCTGGAACAGCGTTGTGTTCTTGTCCAAGAAACCCAAGGAATAAAGTGGCAAGAGTCCTTCCTCCAAAAATTTATGTTGCCAATGCACTCCACTAAGCTCGATCTCCCACCAACCCAAACAGCTCCCCAAACCATCACGCTGAAACCACCATGCTTCACAGTTGGCTGCAATCGGTTGAGCCAAAACTCTTGGTGAGGTATTCTCCAGACCCATATCCTTCCACTATCCGAAAATTGAGAACGATTCGTCTGAGAACAATACGGTCTTCCAAAAGTCCAGAGGCTTGGTCATCATATAACTTGCCCACTTCTTTCGTCTGACTATGTTGGCAGGTCTTAATAAGGGCTTCCATCTAGCTGCTCTGCAACGATAACCCAATCTGTGGAGAATCCATTGAACAGATTTCGGGCTCATCCCACCAGCTTTGGCCACTTCTGCAGTCGCTAATCTGGGATCCATTTCGATGCTCCTCTTGACAGCCCTTTTTGTCCTTTCCATAGACCAGGATGACCCGGACGCTGCTCAGTTGTTTCCTTGCCGTGTTTCCTGAACTGCACGATGATTCTGTTGACTGTCGAAAGTGGGATTCCCAAATTCTGCGAAATTTGCCACTGACTTATTCCACTATCTGCTTGACCAACTATCCCTCCTCTAACAAAATCTGACAATTCGAGAGAACCTTGAGTTCTAGGCATGTTGTAGCACAAGATAATTAATGTACAGACCATTTTCATTTATATAGTGCTCTGTGAACACAAATTAGTTAACATAAATCAGTTAAATGACGAAAAATTAGGTGTCTATTTACTTGTGACCATTCAGTGTAAATACGAACGAACCATTCAAATGGTTAAGTAAGTTTGTAATGAAACAGTGAAGCATCAAGAAGGTAGATTTGTTTTCTAGCCAGTGGAGTGGATCATGCAGTATGTTTACATCTTTGGATTTGTGTTAGTGAGTGATTGTTCATGCCAAGTTACTTTGTACAAGTAAGTCAATTTTTACGTTAATGTAGAGCAGATAGCACAATTTTAAATTCAAAAAATTACAAAACGTACAAGGTTGAAAAAAAACAACAATAGGGATCAAATAAAAATTGGTTATTGTGACATGGACTGAATGTTGAATTATTTTCACCAGATAATTTAAAAGAATCTGCTAATGAAAAAACAATGTATAACATTATCTTAATATTGATATAAAGTCAAATATTGAAAGTGGGATTTCAACTGAAAGTTACATGAACAAATCCTTATAAAACAATTATTAAGTCATATCAGCTTCATCATTAGGCATTGATTAACTCTTTGTTTGGCTTCATGTGACATAAAAATTCACTATTTTAGTAAATAATGTGCTGCATTAGATTCCAAACATAGAATAGTAAACATTTCTCAATTTCAGAGGTTTACAAAAATGATTTACATATTGTTATGCTCTAGCCTGCATAATGAAACTCAAGAAGTCTTGCTAAATGGTTAGAATACTATCAAGCATGAAAACTAACTTAAGAATGTGTAATATCAAACCTCAGCAAGCTCCTGCTGTAGTGCTAAGCTACTTTGGATTCATACTTATGATTCAGTAATCGTGAACTTTTATGACTTTTTTTATATTTTTTGGTTATTTTTAGCAACTAAAGAGTTTTGTTCAAGAATAAATATATAATCTGGTGTAAATGAGGTTAAAAAACCACCTAAGGAAGAGTTATGGAAGACTGCCGTGATCAGGAAATCATACACAATTTTTTGGTTCTACAAAGTTTTTACTAACTGAGAGCATGTAATACTTCATCATTTTTATTGAATTATCAATTTCATGTTTCTTGAATTCCCAGTTATTCAGTTGAAATAATAAAGTTGTTATCAAGTTAATGCATTTTTTAATGTTAAACCTATGTTGCTAAATAGAAAACTTATTATTTGACTCCTACCAATTGTACCACAATGAAATCTATACACTTTACTTATTTCAAAATACAACTCTTGCTCTATACATCCTGAAGTTTACTTAATATTACCAGGTTAAAATCTTAACCTGTACATCTTTAGTGTTGTCAGAAATAATGGTAATAAAATATGTTTATCAAAATGCTGTTTGTGTTAGTACCTGTAGGTTTCTCAGCTTTGCTGTAATAACTCCATTAACAGGAAACAAGAGGATCATCACAGCCAATCCTCCAAGGGTAGATACGCCAAGTTGTTGCCACAGCATCCAAAGACAGACACCAATCTGAAGTGGGGCTGACCAAAGTAAGTTAACAATCTGGATAAACTCCATTACCCTTTGTGTGTCCACGGCCATCAGGTTAACAATCTCTCCAACCGTGAAGTTTTTTCTAGCTGAATTAGATAATTGCAAGGACTATAGGGAGAAAGAAAAATGTATAAGAAATGATAAATATTCAAATATGGGGAACAGGAGGATTCAGAGTGTAATAGAACCAAACTGTGGCAAAAATAAGGCAAAGAAGAAAAACCTGAAAATATATGATTTTTGTTTTTATATAATGACAATACACAGACTACTGAGTAATTTAATGCTTTCACATAACATAAATTTCCTTTCAATCGATCTAAGCTTACAAGTTTACTTAAAGATCAGAAGAATAATAAAAACCGATGATCATTGAAGCTACAACATATATTATTCACAATATCTGAAAACATTTTTTAACAAACATCAATGTTACAAATAAATGATAGATTAAGAATCTATATTAAAGATTGGAAACACATTTTTACTGCAATTCCACTAGATACTTAATAAATTAATATTACATAATTAATTAAAATACATAATAAATTTATATATCTTAGCTTTCTGATTATTTATCGCTTTATTAATTTACAAATTCTATTTGATTAATTATTTCTTTTTTCCATCAAGATTATATTTTCAAATACAACCGAAACAAACTTAATTTTACAGATGACAGACCAAAAAAGATAAATTTTAATTTGTAGCACATACTACATCTATATCATAGCAACCAAACTAACGCTAAAACTGAAGCTTAGAAATGTTTGATAAAATTTATAATACAGGAAAACTATCATTAATGTACCCTATGTCCCTTGTCCTTCAGACATTACCAAGGGCCATGATCATCCCCCAAAACCTAACTCCTGGCCAACAAAAACACTTTATTTGTAGTAATGTATTATTTTCAAAAAATCCAATTATTTCATTAGCCTTCGCAAACAAGTAACATCGTTTGCGTATGTAGGAGAAGAAAAGAAAGAATGACATTTACCTTGGTTATATTAACCCTTTCTAGGCCAGTTTCGAGTGCTTTTCACGAGTAAAAATGATAAAATAATAAAAAAAGTACAAACTATTAACCTTTCTTTTTTATTTTACGGATCCTTGAAAAAAACTTACTTTACGATACAGTGCTGAGACTACACAGGAGCGAATCCTCATTGCGATACAGAATATACGATATTCATACTGGCTATTAAACAATGATTCAATCATGGATGCAAAAAACATCAGTGTAGCATACAAAAAACCTCTCCAGTACGGTTCATCTCCACTTACAAATGCAATCACCAAACTGTAATAAACAGAAAAATACTGCAATAAAATACTTACACCCAATAACTTACAAATAAAATGTGTGTACTTTTGCATATCCCAGTGTAAGCACAAGCATGTACATTAATAATTAATTGATTCTTACTACTTCTACTGAATTACATAGCAACATACACTAAAAGACCAGGTTTGATTATTTAATGTTTATGGTATCTTATTATAATGGAGCTTGCGATGTATACGTCCAAAACTTGGATCTCAGAAAGTACCGCACAGATCATCACCAATCATAACTGGGTAATATTTTTAGAACTAGGCAGTATTTTTTATAGCTGAGCAATAAATCAAACAATTGAAATTTCCACAAAAATTATATGTTTCAGATTTAACCAATAAAAATTACAAAAAAAGGAGTAAGTTTCAAATATAAAACAATCAAAAAACAAACTTAAAAACAATTATTTGTTTTTTTAGTGAAAATCTCACGAGTTTTCTAACAGAAAATCAGGGCACTTTCATTAATAACTGCATGTACAAAGAAATATTTCAATAAAATCTACTGTGTGATGTAATGCTGTGATTTTTAAATTGTAATGTGATGTAATGGCTCATTTTTAAACTAAAATTTCAATAAACTCCTTTTTATCATGGATGGTAAACATTATTGAACATCAAATATGAGTACATTGTTGTAGAACTGTCAGACAATTCCAGAAAAGGCTGCAAGCCCAATAGCCTTCCACAGGAAGTAACAGTTATACTTGCCCGGAGGGCAGGTATTTCTGCTGGTGAATACTAATACTCTTATTGCTGAACGTAAACTGATACGAAGTGAACCTTAATTACAGAGTGATCTGACATTAATTCACACATTTTTAGGCAGATTTTCACATTAACGAGATTTATTCGAATGAATAATTTTTCTGGCAGAAAAAAATGTAAAAAATTTAGGTATACAAGTTACTTCCTTTTTTTTTCACTCTTAATAATTTGTTGAGGTATGACTTGGGTTTTTTTTTTTTTTTTACTTTTCATTGCTAGGTATAAAAACACAACTATCAAAAGATAAAGAAATACAAGGATTTTCAAATAACATAATTTTGTGAATTAATAAATTTTAAATAACAACAGAAAATTAATAAACAGAGTTTTAATAACATTGCCCACTGAAAACATATTTCACAAAAGTTTTAAATCTTCCTATGTAGTTTAGAGATTATTAAATAATAATTCATATTCACATGCTCATAAAGCAAGAAAAAATAAAGATTTTTGAACCACTCTAGGTTAGTTAATCTAAATTCACAATTAAATTATATTTTAGGTACATTTTTGCAATAATCAGTTCAAATCTATTGATTTATGCCTTTTAAAATTTTCTTTGATATTCTGATCATTCTACCATTTCATTTATTTTATAGAACTGTGATAAACACTATTTTTACCTATAACCACAAGTATAATTACATCAGATGATATCAATGTTAGCTACAAGTGGATGTGGGCAGTTAACTCAATTAATTTACATAATTGCTTAGTGTATGAGCATTGAGTAGTGTCACGTAAAATAATGGTTATTATGATTAAATCAATTAATGTCAAACAATATAATCAACCAATCAAAATCAATGTTGCCAATCATTACTATCTTCAATTATTCCAACTATCCAAGTCTGATGTGAGAGTAATCGATTAGTTGAGTACAATCAATGAATAAGCCCGAAGATTCATCAATAATCAAATTTCACTAACTTTCCAGCTCTGTCTATAAGTAGGGGCAGTTTGTAGTGAGGTGAATAAGAAATCCGAAATCAATTGCTTTCTATTCATGACAAAATAGCAAAATTTTAAAATAATGCTTTAAAAAAAAATGGTTGAAATTACACATTTAATCAATATATTTCAGGCGGTTAACAGAAGGTTTAGATTTTTATAAAATTTGCATAAAAATACTAATTCACTTAAATTAAATTATGGCAGCTGATGCTTAAAAATTGTTTATTTTTTATCTCAATGATTCAAAAAAATATCTAATTTGTTGGAATCTTAGAAATTGATTAAATGCTTCAAAACTTACGATAATATCTGTGGATTGACAAATGGCATCAAACTTCCTACCAGTTTCATAAAGCCAGCAACAAACAACTCAAGTGGAAATGTCTTCAGTAAAGGCCACAAAATGTTGACTTGACTTTGCACTGGTACATTCTTTGTACCCTTATCTTTGGAAGACCCATCCATTTGGCTTCTCCTACAAGTTAAATACATTTCGATGTCAGAATAAAAATAACCTGGATAATATTATTCAATAACATTTGTAAGTTATTTCTATTTGTAAAGTTTGCTATTCTCCACTAGAACATTGGTAAAGTTGACTGAAATCGAAGTAGTAATTAAATGTTCAGCATTTTTACAGGGTTCATGTCCTTAAAAGTTACTCAACTTCAGTAGTTCCTGAACCTGGATTTGCGATTTTGGCATAAAACAAAGTCGTACATATCAGAAAAAACAAAATGACATTCATTGTTGAAGTGATGAAGTCGAGGATGTCTAAAATGGGGTCAGCATTGAAAAAAGTTTGGGAACCACTGTTCAGTGGTATGCATCCATTAGTGGGTGTGAAAGCACTATATATTAATAGTTTGTTTTACATGTTATAGTTATGCAACTGGTAGAATCACAAGCATTTTAATTTGGACAGTATAATAAAAGTGGCATGCTGCTACTAGTGTATTGAAATATTGCCTTGGCACAAGTGATCAAAACGCTTTAATCTAACCAGAAATATTGCCTTGGCACAAGTGATCAAAACGCTTTAATCTAACCAGAAATATTGCCATGGCACAAGTGAGCAAAATGCTTTAATCTAACCAGAAATATTGCCTTGGCACAAGTGATCAAAACGCTTTAATCTAACCAGAAATATTGCCTTGGCACAAGTGAGCAATACGCTTTAATCTCACCAGAAATATTGCCATGGCACAAATGAGCAATACGCTTTAATCTCACCAGAAATATTGCCATGGCACAAGTGAGCAAAATGCTTTAAACTGATTGCTATTATTATTAGAAAAACGAATATTGAAAAAAAAGTCCTTTCTTCTAACATTAAGACAAGAGAGACTGTAACCAAGGATTTATTATGTAATGTGTCTTCATTTATAGAGATGAAAGTCATAGCAAAAAGATAATAACCGAGATTGTGATTTACTGAAAATTATACTTGGTTACCTGTGTATATGATGACACCTTTTTTTAGTCAGTAATTAATACTCGTTCTATCTATTTATGTGTTAAAAACAAATCATATAAAACAAACTAAATATCATTAGAAAGCTTACTGTCTCATTTTTATGATGATTTGTACAGTTTTTACATGTTTTACGATTAATTTTATCAATTTTTTACATTTTTTTATCTGTGTGAAAACCTTACACAAATCTTTATCTGAACATAAACTTATTTTCTACCTAAATAAGAAAACCTTTTAAGTTATGATATATTACACGATTGTGTACTTTTGATTTTATATTCACCTAAAAATGAAATAATTTAATATTGTGCATATTTTTTTGTTTATAAAAAAATTCAGGTGTTTTGACTATAATTCTTCTGCTCTATATCTCCTTATAAGTAGTCTCACTGATCTCCATGATGAAAAACAAAACAAATGTAAGGTTCTCATAGTTCTTAACCAACACGTGAAGAGACAAGCAGATCAAAATTAAAATGACACTGATACAACTTGGTTAAAAAAAAAAAAAAGAAAGAGCAAATTTGGATTTGAAAAAAAAAAAACTACAGCATCAACTAAATATTTTATGGTTCATATTAAAACTAAAGACCTGTATGAAGAAGATTTTGAAAATGATAAAGACACAATTACTAAAAAAATAAGTTTAAAATAATTCTTCCTTGAACAAGGAGTTGCATACAGGTTTCAAAATGAAATCAGTAATCTGGTTTTTATTCGCTTCTTCCTTACTGAAGTCTTGATAATTCACTTCAAAATTTTTAGACAAATTAGTTTTAATTAAATTGTGTGATAACTGATTAACTTAATACTTCAACATACTGAATTGCTTTCTTTAAAACAGGTATCCAGTGTTTATCAAACTCCGGCAACATCCCAGATGTTTTGTTTTCAGTGCTGAGCTCCCACATATCTTCCATTACTAGGGGTTTGCGATACCCCTTGATAGCCATGCTGCAAAGACAACATGAGGTAACATTATTATTTTTATACATCTCATAAATAATTTCATAAAAAAAAAAAGGAGACATATTCTTCTATTAAATAACTTTAAAAAACGTGTGTTCAGAAAATGTAGAAAAGAAGAGGAAAAATATATCATAGAGAGAGACATTCTATGATGGAAATAAGAAATATAGAGCCTAAGGACCTGTTAAAAATTAGCAGATTTGTACATACACAAACAATTCATATATGTCACTCTAAAAACATCAAAAACAATACCAATTTAGAAAGATTATGGAACAGTTCAATAAATTTAAAGTAAATGAAATAACGTAAATTATTTTAAACTTGTAATAACCATTTTGAAATTAGGAGCAAGGGTTGGGCTGTCCTGGTTTTTTTTGGTTTGGAAATCCACTTGCCCTTTATAGTGACCTTTACAAGTTGTGAACAAGACTGATGTTCTGCATGTGTGGTTCATAAAATTTAACTTTTATTTTGTTAATATATGTAAATTAAGCGAAAGTCAAATACTTTAAAAAGTTAACTAATTTTTCAAACTTTTGTGTTCTTGGTTTTGTCACTGATTATTTATTTAACCCTATGTGTATGGACTTAGCTATTTTGACCTACCCTGTTACCACCATGTAACCATGAAACTATACATACTATATCTATGAATGTACTACTTGTATCATCGCAACATTTGGCAAGCTTTTAATAAGCAATACAAGTCTGTTGTGCATAGCAAGTCAGAGTTTTTAATAATATATTTTTACTAAAACTTTGTCTCTGAATTTACAAAGCCTTTACTGAGTGAAAAGTGCAGTGATTTTCATGACAAAAATAGAAATACTTCTTCTCAACTAACAGTTTTCATATTTCATTTACACAACCTCTAGAACATCCTAAGTGGATATCACGAGTTTTTTTAGTAAAACTGTATACCTTATCTCATACCCTAACATTAAATTTAGCAAAAGTTGAAGAATATATGAAAATCAAAAGTACCTTTTTTTTTTTCTAAAATGATTGCAGATTGTAACAAACAGTTACAAATTTTATCTTAAGAACTTTAGGCCTGCTTTCATTTAATTTTATTATTTCATTGCCCTTCTGAACCATGTCAAACTACTGTGACAAACAGTAAATCACCAGATGAGATGGGGGGAGGGGGTAAACAAACAGATCAGTTCTCATCATCCATGTCTAAATATTTCATTTATTTCTTTTCATTTAGGTTTTGTTATCTAACCTACCAAGTTTTTTGTATTTAAATTTTAGTTACTTTTGTTGAAACATATTTAATAATAGATAAAAAAATGTACATAAAAATGGAATTTAGTACTTATCTTATCTGTAGGACAGTTTATCTAGAGTGCCTGTTTTTCTTCCCCATTATATTTTTTTGTTCAAAATACAATTCATGTAGCTGTCAAATATAAATTTTAGTAAACCAAAAATATATTACTTAGTAGATTAGATTGTGCAAAAACTACTGCGATTTATTTGGTTTTCTAGCTAACCTATAAATAGGTTGAAATAATAATATTAGTTCTTGGATCAACGTCTTCAGTCCGACTCCATTGAGTTGTGACCAGGGGCATCGAGAGCTAGCCCAGGACCTGGGGTCAGTAATATTATCGGGCCCCTCTTTCATTCAATTTATTAGCTTTTGCTGGTTTTTCATAAAAGAAATTTAGGTGACAAATTTCTTCTTGTATCCAAGAAAAAGCAGTAGCCATTTTAGCTCATTAAGTGGTATACATTTCTAGTGACCTTTCGAAAATAACCCACTGCCGGGCTCCTCAACAGACCCCCCAAGGCAGCTGCCCCCTTCCTCATCAGCCCTGGTTGTGATGGCAAACTATTACCTTTTAGATATCAAACAAAACAGCAAGTCATGATTTTAGATAGTGTGCAATTTGCTCATTCTGTTGGTCATAAATATGAGAGAATTATAGACATTTCTTAAAATACAGAAAGTATGGGATGGGCATATTGTGTGGGTTGAAGAAATTTAGTGAAATCTCAGTAAAGCAAGAAGATAAGAAGTTGAAAATTTATATATATATTTAACTGGTCACTATTTACAGAACGTTTCTAATTAGTTACAGAAGAAACTCGAGTTTTTTACCACTCATAAACATAACTTTTGAGAGAGTCTGGCATCAGAAGAGCACATATTACAACAATGAGCAAGTCGAGTAGGCCTATTACATTCATGATTCGATGTGACTGACAGTTTGATGTCTTTATCATAAAAGTGGGATGTTTTGTACATCCCAAGAACTTTTCTCAGAACATTGAGACAAACTACCAAAAACCAGAATATCCGTTCACCCTATCACTAGGAAAACTTTATTCCATTCTATAGATGATGAATGAATAGTAATAAAGTAGCCTTAAAAGTTTTAAACACTAAAGATGCTTTCAGAGAAGTATTACATTTGATAAGGAAATAACTTTTACTAAAGCTGATAGCCATGTGTCTGTTAAAATATATATTTTCTGTTGTTTCAGTTAATATTCAAACAAATTTTCATAAACATTCATCAGAAATCTGCAGAATGACGGGATAAAATCTACACAGGAAAACTGCATAACAAATAGACTTCACTTGTTAATGCTTAGATATCCTCCGAAACACATCAATTTTGGAGCCACATAACATAATAATCAGACTAATCCCAATTTTTAATAATCTTTCTTCCAAAACAAATGACAGAATTCCATTTTGATATTTTGATAATTATTCATTACAATGTATGTAAAAATGCTTACCTAGTAAACCACCAAAATGTAATCCTTGACAGAAATGATGCATTTTCTTCGGGATTCTGTACATAATTTGAGTTTGAAGAAACACCAAAACATTGTAGGTTAAAAAAACAAAAACTATGAAACATTTTACAAATAATGTAAAGTTTGTTTTTAATATAATTTATTTCCTTTTTAAAAAGTCCAGAGAAAAAAAAGCTGAATCAAATTTATTAATTTCAGACTACTCTATTTAATACTGTCTATTTTAAATCTGCTATACTAAACATTAATCACTATTCTGCTATTTTTAGTCTACTTTAGTGAACATTGTGAACATATTCTGGTGTTTCCTGTCTACTATAGTAAACACTCTCTGTTTATTCTACTATTTTTAATCTTCTTTAATAAACAGTCTATTATTTCAAGACTAGTAAATTGACATTTATTTCATAACCTGAACCTTTTCAACTTAATAAAACTTCTGCATAATTTTCTGGCAACCATCTATAAAAGTTTATATTCACTTCTAGGATTTAATTACTCCACATCTAGTCATCTCAAATTCACAAAAGATTTGAAATTCAACAATTCTTTTTCCTTTTATGTATGCATATAGAGAAAATGTGGTAGAAGATGAGATAAATCAACTAAATTGAGCAAAAAGGTTTAGTTAATGTCAGTTTATACATTTTACTTAAATGAAATTAGGGACAACAATTTAATTTTATATAATTGATGTCCACATTTGATAAATTACACTGTTGAACATGTAGCTTATATAGGAATTAATACATTCTGGAAAAGTAAATTAAATAAGAAACCTACCACAATTTTCTTCCCCTGAGTTGAAGAAAGTGGTCTCTTATCAACAAAGCATGACAAAAAGAGCACAACCAGCAAAACAGGAAAGTTGACTACTTTGATAACATACTTGCTTTGATCTGCTCTAACACTGTAGTGGGTATCCTGTAAGACATACAAGTCAAAAGTTATTCAATCGACAATATAATGTTATGGTTTAAATTATTAAGCACTCTACAAGCTTTCTTTTAATTGAAATAGGTGCCGATGTTTTAAAATTATGAAGCCTGAAAAGTGCCTAAAAATCATAAGTACATATTTAAACATGAATAAAATAATTGTAATAGTTTTCCATTAATAACTTTTCAGACATCTAATAAAATAAAATTTAATAAAACAATAAATAAGTATCTCTGTAAACTTTCTCACAACTTTTGGTAAATAACTAATAATTGTTTGTAATGATTATTGTACACTAGAGCAGTATTTCCCATGGATCCCAATCCAACACTGGGTCTTCAGAATATGTGAAAGAGCCATGAACAGGCTTTAAAAGCAGTTTATTTAATTAATAAGTATTAAGTAAACCAGAAGTGTTTTTTTTTTTACACTAAAGCTATCTACTGAGTCGCAACAGGCTATCAATGTTTACAAATGAGTCCTGGGCCAACAATGATTGAGAAACACTAGAAAGACATTTACATGTTGATATTGTTGGTTAGCATCTTGCATTTTGGAATGTTCTATTAGTAATATAATTTATACACTGTACGTAGAAACTTGCCTACTGTAAACACTAGTAATGGAGTCAACAGATTGTTAACTGAAAAAAAATTACAATAATGTGGAAGTAGTTCACTGAGAAATTAACTTCATAGCTTTCCTTCATTGTTATGACATTCTGAATAATATCTTGTTTTTCTTTTGGTTGTTCATTGTTAAGCACAAAACTTCACAATGGGCTATCTGTGCTGTGCCCACCATGGCTATCAAAACTCAGTCTTTAGCATTATAAGTATTCAGTCTTGACGCTGATCCACTGGGGGGGAGGGGGTCTTATTTTTTGTTAACTTATGCCAAACATTTTCCACTGAAAAGATTTTTTTCAAAAACAATTACACTACATGTGGTGGAGATAAGTTTCCCAGATGTTTGCTTCCAGTGACAGGCATATTACTTCTCGCATCTACATATATCTACCTGGCAATTTTTGGTTCATCACTTGGTGGATTTTAAGAGAAATATTCATAAAACAGGAGAATGTTTGATTTTTTTATAAAGCACACAAGTTTCTTCTCATTTTTTTGACAAATACAGCAGAATTTCTATACATGAAGTTTCATTCGTTATTAAAATTATTTAAATCTTTAATTATAGACCATTTGTCTAAAAATCCATAAAGTGCTGTTGTTAAGACACAATATATATTTCATTCATTTATAACAAAACCTCTTAAAAAATATTTCCTACCATTAACACGCATTACTTATTTTTATTATTTCATCTAACGTTATCAAAGCAAAGTACTGAGCTATTTGGTGTAAAATTTGACAACCACTACCTGTTTGTTTTTTTTCTATTTTATTTAAGTGCAGAGAAACTAAGTGATTATTATTACTACTACAATGAATGAATTTAATAGAAATTCATAAACTATAAATGTAAACATAACCTCGTATATCTACGTACCTGACTGAAAGTGTCCATTAGCACTGATCTGTACGTAATTAAATTACACAAAGAAAAAAGAAACCAGAACAGGAAGAGAATACCAGATGATCCCATCCCTCGTCTCCTTCCCACCAAGACGAAGACCAATGCCATGATCTATAAATTGCCAGGAAAAACTTATATCAATGAATTATAATTACTATTATGAATATATGTTCTGATAATGATTTATGATGCCAAGAAGACTCAGTCCATATCAGTTTTAGTTACAAACATAAGAAATTTTTTAAAAACTTAAACAGAGTATAACATGTAAATCAAATGCTATATGGATTAAAAATACAAAAAAATATAAAAATGAGGGTTTTTATTTAAGACAAGCCTTACCAGTGTGAGACATTTGATAAATGGTGAGTAGTAATCAGCTGGGAACACTTCCCACCCTAAAGAGTATGCTCGGATACTTAGACCCACCTCTGCCACACACAGGCATAGTAAAATGACCATAAAAATCTATAGGAAAAAACAAAGAGTCAATGTATTAAAAAATGTTCAAGCCAAGAATACTCCACAAAAGAAGTTATAACAGTACTTATTAAAATAATACTTATCACATATATGTATATGATGGGGCAAAATTTACCATATCATTGGTACTAAAGAAAATATTGAGATAAAGTTAGAAATTAAACTATGTTCTAAATGAAATAATTGAATAGTCACTTTTGCCCCACCCTGTATATGTACCACCACATTTGTTTTTAAACACAAGTTTAAAAACTAATTACTTCTTACACCTAAGTGTAATGCCAACACTATTAACATAGCATAAATAGCTGGATGTCTAACACACACACATTAATATGTTCAACATATATTATTAACCTACTCTTTGTTTTTAGTCTGTATCTTTCAGGTCAGTAAGTAAACTCGACACCATTACACTATACTTTGGGCACTGGTCAAGTTAATCATTCAGTGCTCGACCAGTGAAAGAAGGTTTTCTTGGGGTATTTCAGTTTTCCCCCACCACTAAAATCAATGTCATTAGATTTATAGATCCCTGTAAGTCAATATCAGGTCCCTGCCTTCCTGTATAAGGGCTGTTTAAAATAAGTTGTTTTAGCTTTGTCTCCTTTTTCTTTCCTGCATTCTTATATACAGCATGGAACTAATTAATTTTTTTATCAGTTAGTCGAATAGCCTCAATCATGAGCAGGTGAAGGAGGATTTCTGATCCTTGAACACCCCAGGTAATTAATTAGTTAATTTCCCAAATACCTGCCATGGATTGTTGTTTTGTGTGTTTTTTTTGGAAAGTACGTCAAGGACTTTTCAAGTACATTTATCTTTCAGCTGTTCTGTTTCCAAACT